GGACCAGTGTCCTCGTCATCGGATTGAATGTCACCGTACTGCCAGATTCCAGTTCTCGACTTGCGAGCTTCATCTTGGAACTTCTCTAAAGCATCAAGAGCAGCTTGTTTGTCTTTGTGCTCCCATTTCTTACGTTTTTCCATTCGTGCTATTCCTTCCTGTTCATCATCATCATCGTCAATACCAATTCTTGGAAATATTTTTTAGACAAGGTGAGAGAAAACCGACCTGAAGCATTGCAGCGTTTACAGAGATCTCATCATCGACATCGATGAGAGTGACAACAAATTCTGTTCCAGTGCCTTGCCCTTTGACTTTGCCTCCAGAAGTGTCTCTTTCTTCAATCACTGCTTTAAACTCTTTACCGCTACCCAGCGTCACCGTATGTAAATACTCTCCAGCTTCAGGACCAAAATCTTCTTCCAAGCTTGGAACCTTTATGTAGGCAAGTCTGCAGAGCTGAGCAAGCCCTGGTGCTGCGGATACCGAAGGGTCGATGGGTCTGATTGCACTGTATGGGACTGTCTCTTGGTTTCCGTAATCGATGTAGAAAACCTCAAGCTTCTCATCTGGGGATTGGATCGCTGCCCGGGGTGCACTCACAATCTGAACACAAGTATTGATTTAAATGAATAAGCAAGAAGCTAAGAAAACTCAAAAACAAAGTAAGTGAACTAAAATTACCATTGCACGGTTCCAGGAGTTATCAAGGCTAAACTGTGCAAGGACGATGTCACCTCTCTTAGGATTGAAGGATCCAATAATGGGAGCGTCTTTAATATTCAAGGATGCAAGCTGGTTCTGAATCGAAGCTATTTTCTGATCTCCAGCAGATTGAACATAGAACCGACCACCTCCAAGTACTTCTGTAACCACAACCTGTAATCATAGGTAAACAAAAGAAATTGTCTTTTATAGTTTACAAAAATGATATGAATTTTGTGAAGAATCATGTAAATATATTCACCTTTAGGGTCTCCTTTTGCCTGGTTTCTACTGTATTAGTATTTCCGTTTGAGACTTCTTCTCCTTCAACATAGTTTTCCCAAATCTGAAATATCAAAAACGGTTTAGCTGGCTTTGGTCTAAACGTTTTGAAAAGGGAGAATGTTTTAC